ATTGAAACTTTACAAAAGAGTTTATAAATTTGTAAAAAAGTTAATTTATAATATAAACAAAAGTCTATCTATTAATACAAAATTTCTTTTATTATAACTAACTAATTATTATGTTATAGACTAACTATTTTGATAGATAAAATATAAGTAAACTTAATAAATTAAAGATAATAAAATATAATAAAATAAAATAATAATAAAAGGTAAATATTAAAAATAGTATAATATTGAGTATTTTTAGATTTTATTTAATTTGAGAAATTATGAGTATTATTGCATTTAGAAGATAGAAGAATTATGTAAATTTTCTGTATTTTTAGAATTTGCAGAATTCTCAATATTTTGTAAATTTTCTGTATTTTTAGAATTTGCAGAATTCTCAATATTTTCAAAATTTTAGATTAAAAGATCATTATATTTTATCATTTATATAACTTTATTATCATTGATTAATTGTTTTATTGACAATTTTTTAATATAAATAATTATTTATATAATAATTATATATAATTATATATAATTATTTATAATATCTAATATTATATGATTAAAAATTATAATTAAAAATTCTGTATAATAAATATATACTTTTTTAAAAATAATATGTATAAATTATATAATTTTGAGTAATATAAATGAAAATATTTGTAATAGAAAAAAAAAAAATAAATAGAATAAAAAATTAATTAATGTTAAATCTAAACATATTTTAACTTAAAAATCATATTTGGTATATAAAAGTAAAATTAATTTTTCTGGTAATTTTCCTTCTTTTTATTGCAAAGATCATGTATAAACTATATAGTAAAAAATAATCAATAGAATAATCTAATTAAAGTAATAAATAATATTAGATATATTAAGATTTTATTAAATTAAATAAATATGAATAAATATAGACAAAAAAATTATATATATATTTTATTATTAATAATTTAAATCCTCTTTTTTTATGTTTTTATATATAATGCTTATAATAATAGTATTATAAATTAAATAAAAATATTTTAAATATGTTTATAATTTTTCAATAAAAATAATATAATAATCTATTGATTATTATTTGAAAAACACTTTAATAAATATATTTAATATGAATTTTTAGTTATTTATCAATATTTTATAAAATAATTTTTTTAGATAATAATAAATTAAAAGTAAATGTTATTTTAAAAATTTATATACTGTATATATTAAAATGTTTATTTTTTCTAATTGATAATTGTATAAAGACTATTAATTTATTGTTTTATTAAATATGTTTATTAATATTTATGTATAACTTTTTTTTATTATAAATGATTTCACATAAAAATCAAATTATTTATTTTAACTGAAATTAGAAGATCTTCGATAATAATTAATCTATAGTATATGACATTATTAAGCTAACCAAATATGAAATGATCATTTTTTTTTTTAGAGTATGTTACAACTATAATAAGTTTTGAAGTGTTTCTTAAATGGCGACATATGATGTTAAATGATAATCTTTGACAGAGAGATACAGCCATATTATTAAATTACTAATCAGTCGTCGATCATATTTTTATTTTGTTACAATTTTTAACCAAAAAAATAAAAATGACACCATTTAATCGCTTGTGCTTGGTAAAAACTGGTAAAAGAGAAAAAAAAATCTACCCGTGAGGAATCATCACGCATTAACCAAAAAGAAACGATTGCTTCAATTTTGCTTCATTATCCCTACGATATGTTAAGACTATCAGATTATCATGAAAACCAAACTCGATATTTTTCCCGTCTTGTATAAATTTTTTTTTGAATATCTCATTTAAATCATTTTTTTAAGAAATAACAAAGGATAATAATTTTTATTTCAAATAACGTTTAATTAAATAGATTTAAATTAAAAAGTCATTTTTACCCAAAATTTCTTTCTCCTTTTCGTTTCTAACGTTATTATTATCAATCCAAAGGGTAATTTTTGATTGACGGCGTATTACATGAAATGGTGTAATGTAATTGTTGCATTTTTTTAAAAAAAAAAAAAAAAATAATTGATTCGAAATGATACAAATCCCATTTTAAATCCACTCTGATCTTTTGATTTTATTTATTCACATGTTCCTTCTTATTTTCAAAAATAAATATTTATTTTTGTCCCATTGTGTAACAACATATTTGGGTATATTATACTGAATTAAAGATAATTATAATATGGGGCGTTACCGAAATTTTTTTTTATTTTGATAATCTTTAATTATAAATTGAACATTGTAATTTAAAAAAAAATTTTGGGGAATAGATTAATTGGGCAAATGCACTTTCCGCTAAACATTTGAAAACTATTACATAAAAACTTGGGCTCTCAACTCCGACTTTAGATTGCTAGAAACAAACAAATCAATAACCATCACGTACCGCTTACGACTGCTTAGGATTAAATCTTGGCGTTAACCATCAAATTAAAAAAATTTCATATACAATGCCTAATGAATGTCCTGCCTTGCTTTTTCCCTGAAAAGAAAAAAAAAATAAACTATAAATAAAATAAAAATAAAAAGAATAAATATAAACGAAAATCAATTCCAATTCTCGCGTGTTAAATGCTTTTATTCAATTACCCGCAGTAATTATTTCAATAATACAAATTTCATCGGAATTAAACACTCCTCATAAAATAAAATCATGTTCTTTCAGAAAAATAAAAATATCCCATTCATCTCAAATGCTTTCATCCTCTTCATATTTTTATCAATAACAATGGTTAAAAGTCAATTTTTAGATGGATTTATAACAGGAGAACCTTTTATGAGAGAATATCCTCCAGACCCATTCTATCCGAACGGTGAAGGGAAAATGTTAAAGACACCAATCGATTCTTCTGCGAATTCAACGGTTAAATGCTCGGATCCCCTACCAGTGGGAACTTATCCTTTGCCACGTTGTATCGGTAATGTATTCGAGTACAATTTCGAAACTTATGATGTGGACCAACGATCGAAACTCCGATCGAAACGAAGAACAAGTCATATGATCACCTGGTTCGGACATTATATTACATTTAATATCGTCAGTTCGCAAAATAATGTCGTCTCGGATCCGATATACATACCTGCTGATGACGCAAATTACAATCCACCAAATTCAATCCC